AAAATGAACAAATCTGAGAGAGGTCCACATGTAGTACCTATATATGTAATATCAAAGCAATTGGACTTGCGGTTTTTAACAAGAAGTTGAAAATATCACTTTTTACCAAAAATGACAAAAATATTCACCAAAATTAGAGAATTGAAGATATCATCATGAAATGAACAAATCTGTGAGAGGTCTCCCCAAGGTACATATACACCAAGTATCAAAGCATTCAGGCTTGTAGTTTTTAAGAAGAAGTCAAAAAAGTAAAACATTGACACGGACGACGACGACGGACAATCACTCGTATCATATTATGATAAGCTTCGCTCGACAAAGTCGACAGCGGAGCTAAAAACTGCCGAAAAATCGCCCTGGGCGGTTATTTGGTCCCATATTTATTTTTCTAAAAAACCCAAATCGCCGTTTAACGACCCTGGGCGAATTTACGACAGAAGTCGAAAATATCACTTTTTACCAAAAATGACAAAAATATTCACCAAAATTAGAGAATTGAAGATATCAACACGAATGATATGAATGAACAAATCTGAGAAAAGTCTACCCAAGGTACATGTACACCAAGTATCAAAGCATTGAGACTTGTAGTTTCCAAGAAGAAGTTGAAAAAGTTTACACGGACAACGACGGACAATTACTCGTATGATAAGCCCCGCTTGACAAAGTCAACAGCGGAGCACAAAGTGGTCAATTTGCTTCAAAAAACCAAACACAAACAAAAAATTGCATTTAGAGGCATAGCAGAGATACACAATGGGTTATAAGCATATACGCTACTATCAGCAATAGAGCAGATGTTATATACATGTACATACTTGAGAGGGTCTTCATACTCGCTATCTACACTATCAGCATCACTGTCACCATCTCCCCTCCAGGCCTGATCCACCAATGTTATTTCTCTGTCACTATCACTGTCACTTGCATAGTCTGAAATAAAAACAAGTTTTAAAAGTCACACAAAAGTGCTACAACGTATGTGCTGGAAACTTGACAGTAAAAGGAATAAAGAGAAATCCCCCTCCCCCCTTTTGAATACAAATAAAAGTTTTTTAAAGCAAGTCTCAGAAGTATTGGGGCAACCAATTTGCAAACTCGCTAGAGAATTGGCTAACTGCTTGGGTTTTAACATAGAATGTTTTTACGCATCCTCAGACTGGTACATGTCTGGATTCCCCTGAATGATTTGAGCCCGAAAATGGCCTCAGTCAGCTGGTGTGATAATATTATAAATGCGATTAATCCACCGATATTTATTATATGAGGTTAACCTTCTTGAACACTGATTGAAACTAAATAGACAAGTTGAGAAACAGTTTCCTACAAATCAGGGAGAAAATAACAAACTTACACACTCAAACGATCTGTTGGGGTAACATTAAGCCAACCACTGAAAAAATCGACCTCATTCGTCGTTTTTGTGTGGACACGAAAAGCATAGAACACTTTCCCTGGTATATTTTAAAGCGAAATCGCTGATTAGCACCAAAAGTATGAGGATCGTCCCTTACTGTTACATAGATTTGTTTTAAGCGGGCATGACCGCAAGACGGCGCCAGCAAGATTCGAAAGCCAACCGTTTAGTCAAAACCAAAGCAGTTAGCCAATTCGCTAGCGAGTTTGCAAATTGGCTGCCCCAATACTTCTGAGACTTGATGTAAATCATGACTATTATAGTATTAACTGAAGTTGTATAATGCGTATAGACTAATCAAGGGAATAAATTGCATGACTTACCAATTAATTTACTAGCCTGTGAAACTGGGTTTTCTGGAGTTACTGTTGAAGTGCCGGGTCTGTAATAATCTAACTGTTCTAGAAGACTTTCACTTGATTCACTGGGTTTCTTCTTCCTGTTGTTTTTCTGTTGCCATATTAATGCTTTGCGCGTGTGTTCAGCACAATATCTACTATGAGATGAGAAATACAAGTCAGAAACTAGGTCTGGTAAAAATTCCTCTGTCATGAGAGATATGGAACACTTCATGCTGTATTACGAGGTTGTCACCTGACAGTGTCGTCATGCGCAAGTAGCGTACTTCCCTGAGTATAAGCCCCTCCCAGAGTATAAGCCCACCCCTCTGTTTTTAGACATTTAACATGTTGAGGGCATGCCAGAATATAGGCCCAGGGTGTTTTTACCGGGCATCGGCGACATTATATATGCATGTAAAAAGTGTATTTTATTGCATAAAAAATCATGATTGGTACGGTAGTTTGGTTCCAGCTTTTACGAGAAAACTCGTATTAATTTCAGAGTGCATGGCGGACGGATGAACCCTGATGTTGCAATACTGAAATAATCCATATTTCTTTTGAGTAGTAGTTTTCCAAACGGCAAAAATGTGATCGTCAAGTCGTGAAACTTGGTCATTGAATATCATTTTACTTTCCCGAACAATCGTGTCCATTGAGTCTATCTTGACTTGGATGTGAACAAGCAAACTATTTTTCGACATGACTTGTTGGCGACCGTGAAAGGTTTAAATACTTCCCCCACCCTCAGTTTACCTTTTGAAAATTGCGAATCAACAGCTTTTAGGAAAAAAATCATGTTTTCTTTGTCAAAATCAGTGTTAACAGATAGCATTTTAACATCACGGTAATTCACTTTCGCATTGCGTTGAAAAAATTACTTCGTCTATATTTGGAAAAATTCGTCTGTACAACACATCATTTTCATTGGTTAACGAAAGACGTGACCTGTTAGGTCAAAGGAAGTTGTTCAGGTCAAATCATGACGAAAACATTCCACAACAAAGATAATGATAAAGATCTTGCCTTTGACCGTTTTTCCCACAGACCGTACCCATTGTTGCACCATAAATTCAGACGGTATGTAAACCGTATTGTGATAAAATGTGTGTATTTTTATGAACACGTTTGTTTCTTCATTGTAAAAAGTAATGTAATTGTAAATTAATGATGACTCGTTTCGCATTTTTTCCCTCAAAAAGACGTAATATTTCTCCGAGACCAGCGCTGTGAACGAAAAATGTAATTTGGATAATTTTTCGAGGTTGGGAAGATGATTATAATTTTAAACCCACCAAACAAATTTTTTTTTCTGAGGTGGTCCTCGAGTATAAGCCCACCCCCTAATTTTTCCCGATTTTACATGTTCAGGCCCCTGGGCTTATACTTAGGGAATGTATAATCCATGAAGCGAAGATGAGCATTTGCAGTTACGACTGCGAATGCCTTTTGAACTCAACACAAATTAATGATTGGTGCATAGACATGTATCTCTGTTTAGTGTGAAATGTCAAGTAATATTTCTTGATAAACATCACTGTACTGTAAGTAATATGCACCAAGGTAATGTGATAAGAACAATTCATAATTACAGTATATTTTAAAACAAGCAGCCTCTTGGCTGAGATAGCTCTGGTGCTAGCAATGCACATTTCAATGAAAGAATTGACGATATTACAAAATGAACAAATTTGAGATTGGTCCACCTGTAGTACCTTTATGTATAATATCACATCAATCAGACTAGTGGTTTTTAACATGAAGTCAAAAATATCATATTTTACCAAAAAAGACAAAAATATTCATCAAATTTAAAGAATTGAAGATATCACCATGAAATGAATAAAACTGAGGCCCACCCAAGGTACGTATACACTAAGTATCAAAGCAATCAGGTTTGTAGTTTTCAAGAAGTCAAAAAAATTGACACTGATGACGACAAATAATCACGAATAGGATAAGCCCCACTTGACAAAGTCGACAGCGGAGCTAACAAAAAAATTGTCTTTATTTAGCTTACTTGTCCTTTTTGTCTGTTTTGGGAGCAGGATTAGTACAACGTTTTGCATTATTACGAGATACAAAATTACACTGCTTATATGGTGCGTTCTTGTCTTCTAGTATATGTTTCAAGCAGTATTCAAAACCATCTAACCGATTCTGCATACAGATACGATGTGGATATAGACAGAAGAGTGTATCGGATTTTTTGGTTATATAACGGCTTGTACTCGGCTTACTTCGTAACATCTTAACGTGTAGTTGTCTGGTCTACTATAACAAAAAAAATATAAAAAACATGTTTTATATTAATTTTACTGTGAACCCCTCTCCTAACAGTTATCATACCGGTAGTATTAAATAGTAGTATTAAAATATAGTGAATAATGGAAGCACCTTTTAAACAAAAATGGCATAAATAGACAACAAAAGTGACAGAGTTTTGTCTAACTTCTTTAGCTACATGTACTTAATCTTATTTATTCCACTACATTTATCCAAGAAAGTAGCCTGCAGCTATGAAAAATTGCATGTATATCATTTTTATTTCAGTTTGTCTAAAAGGTGCTACTATTTACTGTATCCTTTGCTTCTATTGACTGACAGTCATAACTACCGTAAAATTTGTAATGGAAGCCTCACACATTCTTTTAAACAATTGAGAACCAAAAATTCACCATATCTCATATGTGAAGATGGTCAATTAGAAGCCGCTTTCCTCTGTTGCATTACACACACTGTCTTAATAGAAGTTGTGGTACTGTCTAATAGAATTTGACAGTACAACATTTTACATAAATGTTCACTATTCTGGAATTTTTAGGTAGTTAGGGTTGTTCTCAAATTATCAAGTTCGCAAAAAATAAAACTTATTTCATGTAGGATCATACACTCTCCTACATGAAAGTAGAACATTTTTTTTTTAAAACACTATTGTGCAAAAAAATCAATGAGGATGACACGAAAGCAGTTTTATTCACCTGTTTTAATTAAACTGATGTATTTTATCAGATGTACATTTATTATTTGCTTGAATATATCGGCTAAAAATGCAAAACAAATAGTTATGTCAACAAAACTACAAAGTTAAAAATCAGCAGATACATGAAATGGACATTGGACCACCTCTCCACCAACGGAAATAGGTTTTGTGTTTTGGCAAACATTGACAATTTGAGAACACATTTTAAATATGACTAATTTTCGTAAAAAGTACTACCAGTTAAAATTCAAAAATGGATGAAGGTTCAATGCTCACACTCCCAAACTGACCAGACCAGATGCGAGTGTTCCAAAAAACAAACAATTAGACTTCACACTCATTGCAGTCTTCTTTCTTTTTTCACATGTGCAGAAAAATATCGACATTTGTATACCCTCTAACAAATGAAATGTCCTTAATTTTGAAATACTAACTACTTCTCAAAACTTATTTGATTGCGAATTTGAATCACTTTACAATTATCTTTTTTTTTTACACATGATCAACAAGAACTAGAAGTGCAGAATATTAATCACAACACAAGAGTCCTTATCTGCAGCATTTCCATTATTGCCTGGAGTTTTGAGTGTCAGTCGAGCTGACCACTATGTTGAGATGCCCGATGATATAAATTCCATGTCCATGAACCATTTTAGTTACACTCAGTTAATTATAAATATAGCCTTATAATTTTTTTCATATTAAATTTTCAAAACAAAATTCAAGACATGCTGCTAATGTAATATTATGTCTATTTGGTTCAAAATTAACATTAAAATTTACTGAAAAAAAAATACATAAAAAGGTGCAGCACATTCGGCAGGAAACTGTCTAGAATTCATGGTTTTATCCTATGTATTTAAAAATCATATAAAGTAAGCCAGTTTTACAGTACCGAAAGGGAGTAAAAAAATGACAGGTTATTTATAAAATTATATGCAGCACACGGGGAAATCCCCAAATCATCTAGATAATTGACACTGTTTATGACAGCATCTCAAATGAACCAAACAGATACAAGATCAATGCAGCAAAAACATTTCAATCTGGGAAATTGGAATATTACTGTCACCAGGCAGGAAGTACTATCACACAACATTGAACCCAGATAAATGAAATCCATAGAATTCAAAGTTATAGACTTGTGTATTGTGATGAGGGTTTCCGAAAAGACAACACTGTTTTGTTTATGTAAACAACAGTGCACAATCCTGAAAGTTTCAATAAATTGTTAGAAAATGTTATCTGATATACAAACCTTATATAATACATTTTATAAAAGTAGAACAAGATTACATGCTAAGAAATAGGACCAAGTTTTGACCACTATCAGTCAATATAATTAATACATGAATGTTATTGTTTTTACAAAACAAAATGGCAACTACAACTTGGTACAAAAACATTGCACGCAACGGATGACATTTTCGAACTAAAATACCAAAATACCTTGGGAAAAACGTTCACCGAAGCCACTGAATATACAACAAGATCCAAAACAACGTCGTTAATCAGCGATCAGAGATGGAAGCAAGCATTACAAAGCACTGTGTCACTCACTGAACCATTCCAACAACTACTACTACATGTGCCTTATGTTATCTACGGGGCGGGCAGCAACTGATGACGTCTTGCTTTGATCACATGATGGGGCATATTTATTATGCCCACATCGCCATTGTGCGATGCTGAGTCAGCTCTTCCAAAAATGCCTGCCCCGTCACATTCGCGGCCCGAATTCCCTCAAAACCATCGCAGACAGCAAGATTTCTCAACCTGGAGCAATTTTCACGAAGAAATTACCTCGATGGATGCACTATCACGCAAAATTTGGGCTGAAATTCTTCGTCCTTTTCATAACAGAAAAGGCGGCTACCTTGAGATCTCGCAATCTCTCGCCCTATTTTGTGGATGATGGTTGTTTCTCGCGGTAAAATGCGAGAAAACGCGAGGATTCGCTCGTCTTGTAAGGTACCAGAAACATTTTTGTAACGCCTTGTTTGATTGGCTATTATACTTATCGCGAAATGCTTGATCGAGGATAGTTTTAAAATTGATATCCACAGTTAAAGCTTTTTTTGTAATGAAGATGTTCGATGGAATATTTGTTCTCTATTGAAGGCCCAGAATAGTACGAGGATAATGATAAAAAAGTGTCAGCCAGTTCGTCGGGCAATCCTGTGTCATCCAATCATGTGGCTCGTTACACCAGCTGTTCGAGGTACCGTCTGTGTGTCGTCACACCGGGTCTAATGGCGGTCGACCCCGAACGATGGTATTTTACGAAGGAACAACTTTTAAACAGTCCATCGCGAAAACATGGAATCGACCCGGAGAAAGAACTTTCCTACAGACAACAGTCCGCCAACCTGATACAAGATATGGGCCAACGCATGAACGTGTATCCTTTTTATGGGTTAAAATTTGTCGTTGAAATAGAGGTTCAAAATGGCGAAATACGTAACCGCGTGTGATACGCTGAACGGGATCGAAGAAATGTCTTGAAAACATATTACCAGATTCGATTTATGAAAAATATTAGTCAAATTGTGTTCTCTGTATATTCTACCGTGCCATTTCTGTTTAATTTCTTCTCGCCATTCACTTCCTTTGCAGTTAAATACGACAAATCTATATGCCCTTGAAATGACCTTTCAAATCACTGTTTCTCAGAATCTGCCAGAACGGACACAACAAATCAACACTTTTGATGCGAATGATGTCATTGGCATGACCTTCGATGTTGACAATCTTAAAAATTGCCGGTCACGAAGACAGAATTCGTGAAATTCTGTCTTGATTCCCTAGAAATTTACACGATTGCATTATTTGGTTGAATATGACAGTTTACAGGTTTGTAAGATTTGTTGTTGATTGCTTCGACATTCGTTGTTTACCCATAAAATGTCATACCGCTTTTTCCCCAAAAAAAATTATAATTTCTCTACATTACTATGAGATGGAGTCAAAACCATGATTGATACAAATTAAATTGAGTAAATATTGAAAATCCTTAAAACTGAACAAATTTAAGTGTTTCTGATAATACTTAATTATTATTGTGAATATCATGTGTTCAACCATGATTTGATTTTCTTGTAAGGAAAATGTTGTTCAATTTACAAGGACTTTTAAGTAAATCGGTGTTGGTAAATTATAATATGTATAGGCAGTGTTAATCTATTTTACAATAACAAATAGTTAATTATGCTTCTGTCTTTTGTGTTTAAAAGTTTTTAAGATGTACCACATCAAGGTGTGAAGGTATAGCTACCCAGAAGTGTCTTTTGTTTAATCTGTAAAACAAATTTTTCCCATATTCACAAGACATTAGATTTGCATGATCTTTAGACTTAAGGTCTGTGCATGAACTTCTCGGTAGATTTTTAGCTTATTGTTAATATAGTCTTGGTTGCTTATTTCCTTCAAAACTCTTTAAAATGTTACTAAATCACAAAAAGAAGTGGTTCAGTACATTGACAAAACCACACTATGTAACTTGATTCTCTTGGATCACATTTTGAAGGGCTTGTTCAATTTTTAGAATACTGGACAGAACTTTCACTCCATACATTATTGGCAGCATTTGAAGGTTTCAATATTCATTTGTATTATATTTTCATATGAGATTATTACTTGATGTGAATTTCCAAGAAGCATTTGCCTTAACATTTCTATGAAGAACTCAACTATGCATCAACACGGCCATTGTATACATGCATCGCTTCTATATGCACCATTCTTTTACAAAATTCCACCGCAATGTAAGTACGAGTATCATCAATTTTAGTTAAAATGTCATACCAAAAAAAACATTTCAGTTGTGGTAATATTCTGTATTACTATTGGTTTTCCAGAGCATATCGCCAGCATGCCTTTTTCTAGCTGCCAAAGTAGAGGAACAACCAAGAAAATTAGAACATGTAGTTCGAGTAGCCCATGCCTGTTTACATCGAGAAGGACCTACATTGGACCCTCAGAGTGAGGTAAGGAAAATTGTGAATACTTAGTCAATTTGACTTTTACAAAAGTTCAAATATTTATTTTTTTATTCAACTGTGGATGTATTGTGAAGAGGTTTTCAGTTTTTTCTGCGAAAATCACAAAGCCATGAATTTATAGAGTTTTTCTGTTTTTTTACGAACAAAGTGATCATATGATAAAAATCATTTTATCCTGATTATTGAACAGACTAACTTCTAGTGTTTATATACAACATAAAAAATTTTTGTGGACAAATATAACTTTCATGCGGACCAATTTCTCGAAGTGGACAACCAAAATTGTTATTTATTAGCTTTGAGTGCTTACTTTGTAGTATTCTCATGATAAACTTGTATCAGCCCCAACTGGACAATTGGACTGGGGAGTTAATATAATATGATTCTTCAGATTTCTTTTTTTGATTACATTCAATATTTCCAACTGGTGGCCATATTGATCCAAATATAGCCCCCCCCCCCAAAAAAAAAAAAACCTACAATTTTATACATGTAGATTATTATCCCCATGTTATACAGATTTTTTTCTAGATACATGTACCCAATATGGCAAATTGGCAGTCATTTTGTTTCACATTTTGCCAACATAAATATTTGACACTGACTTTTACTTCATATAACTAGTACATTGCACTTGCACAAAGCTGACTCTTCATTTGTGAAGGGTTCTGACATTCTGACAATGGCTGCTTATAATAATAATTTATAAAGATAACAGCCCAAAATTCTATTGTTTTCAATACTAGTTGTATAATTATTTTATCAAACTTGACAATTACTGTTGTATATTACTTGCTTATTAGTCCCCATTCGGACGTAGTTCGAAAACGGGGACTTATGTTTTGCCCTGTGTGCGTCCGTGATCACCTGTATCTCGAACATGCATGGACAGATTAAGTTCAAACTTCACTCATACATCACACATTATATGGGACATATGTACAT